TGTTCACAGTTATGTTCACAGCGGTAAAACGCAACAATTCAACGTCACTTGATTTTTGGTTTTCGCAGCCTCGAAAATTGTTGGGTTGAGCTTGAAGCAAAAATGTTCAAGACTTATGTAAGAAAACATTAGAGCAGTGATAAATCAGATTACGAGCCAACAAACTAGATGGATATCAATTGCTAAATTCTTTATGCATCTGCGTCGTATAACTTTTCAGTAACTATCTTAACGTTTGGCTTGAAAGTGAAGGATTTTTGAGCTAAAAGAGGTTAAGTGGCTGTTTTGGCGGAAAGACGGCGGGACCTGCGCGTGCACAGTACGTTTGACCGCTGTGGACAAATTGTCAACTTATCTAGAATACTGGCCGAATTATTCCAAAATTTTGTTAATATGTAAATAATCAATCTTTACATCCTGTATTTCCTCCAGTAAGTGCTCAGGGTGCTTATGTGAAATTTCACATTTTCTTTCGTCGACATCCATGACTCGACAATTTTTGTATTTTTTTTTTATAACAAACACCATCAAAGACAGATTTCCAGTCCATACCAGGTAATTTTCACGATACATCTGGGCTACAAATTATAAATTATTTCATTTAAGATTGTAATTTATGTATTCAAGAATTTTTTTATTGGAAATCACAATTACTAGACAGAAGAGGTGTCTTCTGTAAATGTTATGGTTCTTACATTTTCTGGTCAGCAACTAAGATGAAATAATAAAATTATTATGCAATCATTTTGTAAATATGTATTATATATTTAGGGCAATCTAAAATCACTGGTATTGGTGATGTTTAAAAAAGGTTAGATTTTTTCATGTAAATAAACTTGTCAGCCAAATGGTAAATAGTTGTCTTTTTTTTGTCCTTCTTCTTAGCAAACGCACTGAAAGAAAACGCTTCTTAAAAGCCGAACGTCCATGACGATGAAACAGAACTAACACGAGCAAACATAGTTTACATGCTGAAATAAACGGGTGATTTTCCTTGCTTTTCTCGCAGTGTTTGTCAAAAGAAATAGAACATTTTATATTTGTTTCTGTCTATTCTGATTCAATTTTACTTCCGTTTTAAACTTTCTGTTACAAGAACTGTGAAGATTTGTGGATGCTCTAATCGAACGGTTTTTGTTAAAAGATCGACCATTGGATATTTTCGGCAAGTTATCGGGCGTTGAATAAGTGAAAATCTTAGCTCATGAATTTAGCCAAACATGTGATTCCACCGTTTCCTTGTGTCAAGGCCCCGCAGGCTAAGAGTGACAGGTGGCTCTGGAAACGAGAATGATTCCTATCGAGTTTTAGTAGAATTCTACTAGTATACTAATGCAAATGCTGTAATCTGATTGGCTATGCTACTCGTACACTATCAGTTATTAGTATATAATTCTTCTAGTATAGTAATGAAAATGATGTAATCTGATTGGCTGAGCTATCATACACAACCAGCCATTAGTGTGCAGTGGTAGTCGGTCGCCTACGAAATGGCAACGTTTTTATGTTTTGCCGACGTTTTAGAGGAACATTTAGATGCAAATAGATAGATAAATTCCTGAGAAGAAAAAATGGAAAGATTTCACAGTCGCTTGACTACAAAAGCTTGAAATTATTGAAAAAACTGATGCATGTACGTGCGTACTCAATTTCAAATTTTAAATAGCACTTGAGTGCAAAATCTACTACCGTTCTATCACGAATGTCGTTCTCTTATTAGCTACGTTACACACTATCTAGGGGGACTTAAAACATTAGATTATTCGCTTTCGATTTCTATGCGTGACTGAAATCTGTACCTTATGATATAATTGTTAAATAGACTGAAACACTTGTGCCGTTAAGTTCGTACTTAGCCTACTTTCAGTGTTTTCATGAGCAAATGAATCGATCTTGGATCAGCGACTGAAAAGACTGAAAAGACTGAAATGGGCGTAATAAAACCTCCTCACTCGTATTCAATATGCCTGAGTGGAATCGTTGCAATTCCATGGAGACTCACCTGTTATCCGGACTTCATTACCGAGGTCACCACCATCACTCGTCTGAGATATATCCTCTGTCCGATATCACTTTCATTAAGGTGTCTTGATACATTTTTTTCTGGACCATACCTGGCAGGTCTTGCATGACATTTTAATTAAGCTCTTCACCAGTCTTCCTTCGATAAGATCGACGTGAAAATTACACCAGTTATTGTAAATATATTGCAATTTGTATATAATGTACTTTTAAGGCAATCGATATTTTCATGGAAACGATAAACTAAAGGACTCGAATTTTGAATTTTGCGCGAACTAGATTTGCTATAAAAAAAGTTAATACCATTGAATGTCATCAACTATGGTGACCTAATTACAACTAAATACGGTAAATGGAATAGATAAGACTAGAAAAATGTGTCCGTTTGATTTCAAGTAAATGCAAGAACATTTCAAATCATACAGGGAAAAATAATAGTGAGTGGATCAACAAATGAGCACGATTAAGGGCCCATTAACCGATTTATACGCGCGCTCGCGCGCGTTGCTAAGGAGGTAAAATTTCACTTCCGGTTACTTACGTCAGCCTGAGCGCGGAAAATAAAAACAAC